TGACGCTATTATATTTACAAGACACAGTTGAGCCTAGAAGGAAGACAGTAATAAATAGAAAAAGTAAAGTGGTGTTTTAAAATAAATAATTTAGTTTCCAATTATCTAACGTTCATATACAACATCGCGCTGTGATTTTTAATAGCTCTCACTAACACCCAGTTGCAGTGAAAACGAACATTTAGCATGCGATATCGGAAACGATTTTTATCACTCGTGACGAAATGTACGATGAAGTAGTCAGTCATGAGCTTAGTATTTTCGTGTGTTAAAGAAGGTTTTAGTAAAAAACTAAATAATTAATATTTATTTTAAGCTCCAATGTTCAAACAACAAACAAGTTACATAGCTACTTTCCATCGCTTATACTTGATAAAGATGTTTTTTTTTTCGTGTCAAGTAAATAAACATAAAAATACACAATTGTTGATTCACAACCTTATAAGATCAATACATTTCATTGCCATAATTAAGTTCAGCCACTTCCAACCCAGAATTGTGAATTGAAATCGGTTTCACGATAGGCCCCTACTGTTAGTTTTAAGCTTCAAAGTTAGAACTAACACAACAACACCATAATAACAGCTATTTTGTTTTGGTTATACTCGATTAAGATATTTAATTTTGTATAAAATTACAAAGAATTTTAACAAATTCGGGAATGATATTTGTTCAACTTCAAAACTTTTACAAAACCTAATTAGAACCAAAAACAGCCCAGGAAACTTGAATTAACTCTATTTGAAGAAAAACACATTAAAATACAGTAATAACAGTTATTTGGTATCAGATATAGTGTAGACACAATTTTTGTCGTAACGCCTTTGTCATGCAAGTTACTAACAACTAAAATAAACTATTGGTAGCTTTTAACATTTGTACACTAAATTGAACGCTTACTTACCCGGTAAAGTTAAATGAAGTTGAATTTAAGAGAAAAACACTGAAATGGGGCAGAGTTACTGTTTTACCTTTCTTCTTAATGCTAGAAAGGGTCGGTTTATGTATATTGGTGGTGTATACCCCTCTGTGATCCTACCCCCAATGGTTTACAAGAAAACTCAATTTCCAAGCCATGGAATTCCTCTCTTACGTAAGATTTTGTCAAAACAATGTTTTTGCATTCCGTATAATACTATATGCCTACATTCTTACCCTCCTCTCTTTTCCTTCTGCATGAAAGTTATACTTCTTACATATTCAATTTTTTTAGTCGAATATTTTACAAGCTTGAGTGTTTAGGGACCTTAATTATACTTCTTTTACGTTCTATAGTTTCCTTTGGGGTTATTTGTCTTCTAAAGTTAATACAAACGCTTTTAATTATAATAGGCGTAATCTGCCAGTTATGTACAATTCTCTCTGTAGGACTTAAAATTACCGGTTATTAACAAATAGTTTAACAAGCAGGACAGTTGTGGCCCATAGTTATAATTGCCGGTGATGATAGTTGGACCAAAATATTGAAACAAAACCATTTAGGTCTCAAAACCACAATCTTAAAACTATTAACTAAATAATAGGCTAAATAATAAATAATAATATACAAAATATTTTTTTCCTATATGATAAAAAAAAACTTTCAAACCACGATCTTAGAAAATAATTTTATGAAACCATTATTTTGCAAAACTAGCTATTTAGACATCTAGACTTTTACCTAACAGAGTGTTTCTAATATAGTCGCAGATTCCAAAACCAAATTTAAAAAGATTTCCCCCAAAACATTTATAGTTTTCAAATATTTTAAAACATTATAGATTTTTCTAATAAAAGCTTGGCGTATGGCAAATTTCTTGAAACCTTTGAACGGCTGCCATATTTGACTCGATTTTAGTATGAGTTAGGGTTTGCTGTGGTCTCTTCCACTCATAAATATCTTTAATTTGACGTGCATGTCAACTATGTTTACTTTTAAAATTTTGTATTAATAAAAAAAACCTCTTTGAACGGCTGCCATTTTTGACGTGGCTTCCGTTTCAGCTTGAGTACTCGTCATTATATTCTGCTAATAAGAACCAAAGTATTGATTTGTATGTCCACCTATGCTTACTGTTAAGCATTTTCTTCTAACTTCTACTGTGCCGTCTCCTTAGAAAATAGCGTATGATGTGGAGCGTGTGATGATGTGGAGTACTATGAGTGTAAATGAAGATACCCGGGCCCTATATATCTTCCTCTGACCACTACCAAATCACGCACATTTCCTGTCGTTGCTCAACTCTATTGCATGGAAACTGTCTACCTCGTCAAAGTGCACAATATTACCTTAGCAGCCTATCACATCCAGCTTTTATGTTATTTAATATATCTAATTATAATATAGTGAACAGAGAAATAAATATATATATCTGGAATTATTCTAATTCGTGAATAGTAACTAGATTTAGCAAATGTGAATTCTAAATTTGTGATATTGATTGCCAGACCACGACCATTGAAGAACCTAATAAATTACATAATTAAATTAAGTTTGCCCTTGCCTACACCCTTCCCCGACCCCTATATCTATTAGCTAGACATTCTTCTGCTATTATCCGGATAAGTTGATCTGCTGCTGGCGCTCACACTACTACTGTACTGTGACGGCTCGCACGCGTGCTTGCCGCGGGGAGACGGCGCGCGCAGCTAAGTCACGTGACTTGCGCTATTGTAGCGATTCGCTACAGCGTATTACTAAATAATGTTTAGTTATGCTTTATCTACCCAGTAACTTTGATTCAAGTTTTGTAGCCTAGCCTTACGATTTTTCAAAATACTTATGCGTCCCGGAACTGTTTTGCCACCTTGCAAAATTTTAAGAGTGATTTTAAATCCTCAATTATTCCCTATTTAAACTTAAAAAGAGCTACTAATCAACAATTAGTTCTAGAGACCAATAATTAAGCATATATTATTCTTTTAAGTAAAATTCGATAGAACACATCTATCATTTTAAAATAGAAAACTGTATAATAAAAGTAGGATACGTAATATACTGTATTAGGCACGTAGCACGTACAAAATGTTAGATACTACATTTTTTAGAGTAGAAATAAACCCTTTGTAGATTTAACATCAAAAAAGTTAATTTCATCAGAGTATTGGTTAACCATTAGTGAGGAAGGATTACTACAAAGCTCGAACTTAGCAATTAGTTTTACTCAAACTTTAGATGCTACGGAATTGACGGTATGCCATTCTTGATTAAACAAGCAAAGTGAAAATGGGTATTACTAGTTATTCAAGTATCATAATCAGTTTTTTTGTAACTATAAATTATAATGAGACGATTTGTAGCAACACGGATTATCGTGGGTTTACATAATACCCCGAATGTACTAATAATTAAAAAAACAAATAACTTCAAGTGTAGACTATTTCTAGAAGAAAACTGCTTTTTTGAAATTCATTCACCTCATAATTCTCAGATACAATAAAAACTGTTCACCATGAAATCAGAAACAATTAGTAACAAACCAAGCCATAATAAGTTCAACTTGTTCAAAAATGTATTTAATATTTTTTTTACATTTTATTTGTAAACATGTATTTGTTTATAACTACCTATGAGTCCAGTTTAGTGTGTAACATAATATTTGCTTTGAAAAGAATAACGAATAGTTCACTTAATACAGAAATAAGACAAAGAAGACATGTCACATGGCATTATTGGACATCAGTAGACAAAAGGAGGTGAAAATTCTGGCAAAGTTTTCTTGAAAACAAAAGACCCAACATTTTATCAATTACATACTGAAAACCGCTTTTAAACGACTCTCCTAATTTTATATACACTCTCAAAATAACAGGAACTATCTATAGCTTTTACCTACTAGAGGAAATAGTTATTTGTGTAACTAGTGGTGAAAGTGGCACTTTGCTGCACACGAGAGCAATGTTTACGCACGAGCCGCAGGCGAGTGCGGAATGATCTCGAGTGCAGCAAAGGCCTTTTTCACTCGTGTTACACATTTTATTTTTCCTACAGTCACTATAAAGCATATAAATAATTAGTCTTTGAAACACGACACAACACGTTTTTAGGTTCAGCTGGCAACACAAATGGTGCCCTAGAGAAAGTAGTACCCGCGGTCCGTATCACTCCGCTATTTTTCCTCGGCAAGAAATTTGCTCCACGTTTTGAGAATATAGTTCCGTATGTTTTTTGTAATTTGAAGTGGTTTCCGCGCCTAGTAAAATGCTTTAAAGGTATTTTCTTGTTTATTAAGATCGTAGGAATGTTTTAAAAACGTTTAAAAGAAAAGTCCAGAAAGTTCAGAAATACCGAAACTATAAACACGAAATGACAGGTTAATCGTAGTTATAATAGTCAATCAGCTGCTCATAGTATTATTATTTTTAAGTGTTGCCAACCTATTTCCAAGCGTACAGGGATTACGTGCATAATAGAACCACGCTGTTTTGTGTTGTTTCGTTGGAATCCTGATGTGCGGCAAAGTATAAACCGTACGGCAAAGTATAAATATGCAGCAATTAGCAGCTTTCTGTACTATAAACAGTACAAGGAAGCCAACTTTGTCGGGTGACTGTAGGAAAAAGTATTTTGTATGTCTTGAACTGTGATTCAATTTAATATCAAACATTTAAGTATTTTCCTATTTTGATTCTTAATAAACTTCTTTTAATTCAAACCCCCGAGTTCCGACATTATTACAAAACCAAAAGCAATTAATAATTGGTAGGATTTACACCCGGAGGCATTAGAAAAAAGTTCCAAAATGTGAATACTGTTAATTCATACTATAAGAAGACACATATTTCAGAAGAAGATTTAAAACAATTCGACTCAATGGTATATTTAATTGCATATGAAAACAAGACTGTTCAAACCTATTGAACTTAGCACTACATTTAATTTAAGTGTATGCGCCATTAGTTGATGAACATTACATAGTAATAACTTCTTTATAACGGTAACCATATTGGAACAAACGACAACTGAAGCGTCATTAAGTAAATTATCTTCAATTGTTTATTCGCTACGCATACAATTAGAGATAAAGGTTATTTATCAGTATAGTTATATTATTCAGTATAGTTATAGAGTGCGTGAACTAGGATGAAGTTAATATTATTGTTACTAAGTGGTAAGAATTCTGCTTAAAGTTATTATTGTCGTCAAATTTATTTAGCTTCAATTAACCACGCTTTCATCGATTACTAATTAAATAGCTCTTAGTTTAGAGTGCTCGCCTGGTAATCTAATGTTCACTGGTTCGATCCTCAGAAAGGTGTATAGCCTTTTGATGGTTAAATCTGTACCCGTTGTCCTTGAATAGGCTTTTAAGAGTCCTGACTAATGAAACATCAGGTCTTAGTCATAAAGCTACCCATGGCATCACACTCCATTCCTTTGGGTTAATATACGCACATAGGAGGCGTCACCATCTCAAATGATACCTAAATATTATTTTTTATTTTATTTATTTTTTTTGTCCTAAGGACGCTAGGCACGAGCCTGGGATTGTTTTTCACATTACTTCAGGCTAGACCTAGGGGTTGCGGCATTATCACTTAGATAAAATCCATTGGTGACTTGGCGGGGATCGAACCCGGGACCTCAGGGACTGAAGTCCCGCCCTCTAACCACTACGCCAGCTCGCTCCTCTACCTAAATATTATTAGTATATAGCAATATAATAGTTATTTCATACCTTAGTATATAATTATTATAGTATGATTGCTAGTATCTATATATTAATAGGCAAGCATGTTTCTTTAAAACCTTTTTTCTCAGCTCGTGTGCATCGTAGGGAAAATCTACGCATACTGTTAGAAAGCTATTTTCCTGTAGGTGTGCAGAATCCCTTTATAAATTTAAATAGGCTCAAAGATAAGCGCAAAAAATGAGTTTAAAAATTTGAAAAAATTTACATGGATCTTATACGTTGCTATGCTGGTGACGAAATAACAACGAAATATAAACAGAAAATCAAAACAAATGGAAGAAACTCCAATCACATGTTTTATTTACAGTGTGGGGTGAAACATTAACATAAGTGAGTACATTACATATTTTTGGTCGAGTTTCGACCACTGGACATTACTCGTATTGAATGAATGAATGGTTTTACCAGATCAAAAATATCGAGGGCAGTTTCTCGATGTTAAGGTTTCCAAGGGTTTCGTTAGGACGCATCAATTAACACACAGACACTTCTGACAGTACTTTATGGTGTGTGGAAAATTAGCTTTTACAGCACACATAACTGTTATATGTGTCATCTCATTGAATGAATTTGGCAGGGTCTCACCAAATGGATCGTTTCTTGAAGCAATGATAAAATTGTAGCGTACTAGGACCACGTGATCTAGTTTTTAATTAATATATTTTTATGTCTTGAGTTGTAAAAATTTGTGTAAATGCCAAAAGCAGGTAAAGATAATCTCCTCTTGAAAATGATTGATATATTTTAATATAATATACTTTAAAAAAACTTGACTTTATTTTAAATTTATAAATTCCTTCTTAATCATGAGCCCTAAAAAAAATAAAATGTATTAGAATCTTTGTGAATGAGATTTAATCAAAATCTGAAAAAGAGAGGACATCTGTTATCATATCTGAAATAAAACTAACTAAATTTAAAATTTTTAAAAGACTTACCCAAAACGTGGGGTAACTGACCAAGTGAAGTAACAAACTAATACTTTACTTTACAACTGGTTTAGCACAACTGAGCCCGGACAAGAAGGGTGATTAAGTTTTTTCTGACCAAGGTAACCCTGTGATTGGCTGAAGACTATGTGCTTCAAACAATGACTGACTTACCCTGGCCAATCAAATTTTCATCTCTTTTCCTTACAGGATCCTGCAAACTATTTAAATTTCTGGTTTAACTGGCAAAATTGAACTAACATGTTTACAATATTTCATGATTGAGCAGAGCTAAAAAGGGAAAATACTAACTTGAATTTTGTTTATAAAGTGTGACAAAAAAATACAAAATATAAAATGCAAAATAAACGTTAAATTATGATTAATTCTGAAGAAATTTTAAAAGCATGTATCAAGTAAGTGTAAAAAGTAGTTATGTTGACATAACAAATGGGGCTTATATAATATCTCACCTGTTAATTGAATCAGAATTCAGATTCTAACACGTCATTTAAATTAATTTTTCTTCATAATGCTGGAAACATATATAGGTAGTTAAATCTTTGTTAACTTCTCTATAGTTTGATGTGAGATTTATAAGTGCTAATTCAATGTAAAAAACGTTAAAAATCTTAAGATACCAAAAAAAGAACGCAAAAAATTACTTAAAATATTCAGATACTAGTAAATATTATTAAAGTAACAACTAAAAGATTTTTATGTTATATCACATTCAGGGTGCATACAGCTTATACACTTCATGTGTCACACTATGCATAACCCCTCTGACATTAGGTTGACGGATGTTTGACATGTTCTGTCATATTTGATATTTTCAGTCTGCTGGTTTTCCCTCGCTTCTTGGAGCCCTGTGTTCCGCAACCCCATCCACCCCAGCACCCCCATGCAATGGCTGGACCCCTGTAGCTGCGTACCTAACTGTACCAACCCGACACCATCCCCATGGTTAGAGGAGGGGAACAGGGAGCTGACCGAGGAAAACCTCATCATTTGGCTTGTTGACCTGCAATACTTCGCCGACGAGGCACGAAATTATTACGAACTTTTCCGCAATAAATTTGTAAGTATGGTTTGTATTGCTGATACTAAAGGAATAAACCTTTTCCCTTTCTTTGACGTTGAAAATAATCATGCACGTACTTAAACTCACGTACTCACGTGTATGTATTGATGTACTTATCTGTGGTATTCAGTGTAAAAACACTTTCTATAATAATATTGTAACCGCTAAATTCAAAAGCAAATTTCTAATGCAATACTTTATTTACTTTACAACCAAAAAATTAAATCCTTTACATTTTGTAAAAAGTATATGTATATTCAGTGGAAAGTAAAAAATTGAATTTCTATTGGACACATCAATCAATCTAATATCAAACAGACTAAAAATATGTACTCTATACAATGGTATTTAAAAATAAATAATAATAAACAATTATAATTAAATAATGGAGGACAGTAGTTAGATATACAGCAAATTTTTATAGGGAACATACGGAAACAAATATAGCCTATACTTCTAAGAAAGTGTTGGATGATAATGGTAATTCTTAGCCTAGTGAGCACTGATTTAAGAGGGTTATACCCGGTCAATTCAAGATGGTGGCTAAACATGCTAATTTTTAAAAACATACCTCTACGGTGCAAGCCCTCAACACTAAAACTAATTTGTTTCCAATGCTTGTGTGCTTTTTGTGCTCTTAACATATCAGAGCTTGTAATATATGGGTAAACACAATAACACATAATCCTAGTCACCTATTGACCATCAAAATTATTTGGGTGTTAAATCAAAATAACTCACCATCAAAAGCCCTTATCTCATTACCAAAACTATATCGGTAGGCACCCTCAAACGTGTATTCCGTTGTATAAGACGCATAAATACCATTTTTGAGTCTTCACTGTCTTTATTGTTAAAATGTATATATTTTGAACAGGTCTTAACAGTTTTCATTCAAAATTAAATGAGTTCCTCAACATTAACAAACAATAAACATAAAATGTTAAGTTGTGAAATGCTGTCGTTATTTCCAGTTTTATACTACTAAATACAGTACAAATACCTAGTTTAATGACGTGTAGCGATTTAATATTAGCCGTTATTTTCGTTTTTTAGGTTCGTGATGTGTTTCAAGTTGATTACAAGACACACAAGAATGATTGGAGCAATCTTGAATACAACTGGCTGCCAAAACCACCAAAGAAATTAGGAGAACCAACCAACAGAGGGTTCTTGGAAAAACTCGAGGTAACAGTTGTAAATTTTGCAAACTCAACTCTACTACATATGTTGGACCATATAAATGTACAACACTATTTAGAAAGAATATAAACTTGTGAATTGCCATTAAAACTGAAGTAATATACCAATAATTCGTTAGCCCATCATTTTTTTCTATGTTCATGTTTTTGAAACGGTGAAATGCTTAGTTTTGGTGAAATCAGGACTTTGCTTATTTACATACAAAACACTTATTCAAGCAGATTAAATACCAAATAGACTATGTTCCTGCAATTATTTGCCTATAGTATTGGCCAGATACTACTCACCTGACATATAACGAATTTCAATATAGACACGAGTATGTATTTGGAACGAAATATTGTGTGAGAGTAACAGTTGCAGCATGTTTCAGCTGGACCAGTTCCTAAAAGATACAAAGAGATACCTGAAGATCTTAGCTGTGGGTTTGGAGCAAGTGGTGTGGGACAATACACTGGACGTTGTATGAGAGTAACAGTTGCAGCATGTTTCAACTGGACCAGTCCCTAAAACATACAAAGAGATACCTGGAGATCTTAGGTGTGGGGTTGGAGGAAGTGGTGTGGGACCATACGCTGGACGTTATGTGAGAGTAACAGTTGCAGCATGTTTCAGCTGGACCAGTCCATAAAAGATACAAACAGATACCTGGAGATCTTAGCTGTGGGGTTGGAGCAAGTGGAGTGGGACCATACACTGGACAATATGTAAGAGTAACAGTTGCAACGTGTTTCAGCTGGACCAGTTCCTAAAAGATACAAAGAGATACCTGGAGATCTTAGCTGTGGGGTTGGAGCAAGTGGTGTGGGACCATACACTGGACGATATGTGAGAGTAACAGTTGCAACGTGTTTCAGCTGGACCAGTTCCTAAAAGATACAAAGAGATACCTGGAGATCTTAGCTGTGGGGTTGGAGCAAGTGGTGTGGGACAATAGACTGGACGAAGCAGAGGGAAATGTGCATTACAAAAAGGAGTTTTCAGAAATGTTTGACAGTAACAATCTGGTACGTCTGTAGCCTACATACGTTTACATACGTATACGTTTACTTCACGTTATTGCTACAAGATGGAAACATTTTAACTTCCAAGAAAATGATGCAAACCTAGTTTTAGACCGAAGAATGTCATTCTAATTAATATTAGTATGACATTCCTCGATCTCAATGACAATCCTGTGACAATCGATGACACAATCGATGACAATCCTCACATTTATATTTAAACTAGCTGGCCCGACAGACCTCGTTCTGTCCAAATGTGGTTTATGTCAAATGCTCGTTAATTTTCAAGATGAGCTCGTTCGCATGGCTCAATCACGTCCTGGTTGAAGTTCGTTCGCTACGCTCACTCACCTTTTGGTTGCAAATTAGCTGTTGTTGTAAATTAAAAAAAAATATAGCGCTGCACCCTGTTGGTACACCTATTAACTTTTTAATGCTATTGAACATCACAGGATCAAATTGTTTAGTTAAACCAGCTGTTAAGATTCTTTAATTCCAATTAAATATGAGTACTCATAAGGTTAACATGGGAAACTCCAGAGCCACTGGAGCAAAGCCCTTTTGAGGGATCTGCACCAAACTTCACACAAACCATCCTTGAATAATGCTTAATAATGCCTAAAAGTTTCATTACATTCTGTTGAGTGGTTTCGGAGTCCATAAAGGACAAACAAACATACATTGGATTATACACCAATATATATATATATATGTATATATATATGTATATATATATATATATATATATATAGATGTGAAAGTTTGTGTGTTTGTTTGTTCGTTTGTAGGATTGTTTGTTTAAAGTTTAAACACGAATTTACTACTGGCCAGATTGAGTTGAAATTTGGTATGATGATAGCTCACATTTCTGATTAACATATAGACATATTGTTATCTAAAAAAACATTCGGGCACCACCCCAGTGGCTGTAGTGTTTTCCATGTTAATCTTATGTGCAAAAGGAATTAAAGAATTTCGCCAGCTGTTTCAACTACATATAACAAGCTGGTTCTATGATATTTAAAAGCATTAAAAGGTTATAAGGTTCAGCATTATAGTGCAGCACTGTTAATTGATTTTGCATTTAATAAAGGTAATTGGAACCAAGCAGCTCAAAAAGCAGCTAAAAAAAGAACTTTACTTTTTCTATTGTTTTGGTGCAGTGGCAGAAGATTATGGCTATGGTAGATGTGCCATAATATACCGTACATTATAGTAAATCAAATTTTGTTTAAACGTGCCCTCTCTCTTATTTCAAACGCAAAGTACGAGTATAACTGCAATAAGCATTTACTAATACGCTAACCCCGTACGAAGGACGGGTTCTCTGATAGTACTTTTTATATATCGGTTTTGAAGGTGTAAATGTTGATCTTTTGCTATAAACAACTGAGGTGGGCCTTTACCTTGGAAAATCCTTATTGATTAAGAGCTTCTACGTTGTAGGTTTAAGTAATGGTTTGTAGTCCAGAGTATTGAAAATTAATGGCTTAAATTTTTAAGATTTTGTTTGTTGGAATCTAAAATATTCTTTAAAGTTTTAAAGTTTTAGGGTATACGTAGTTGATAGTATTTTCACGATACACGGCTAAAGTTGTTTCTATAATAATTCCTTTGGGCAAATAAATACAGTGATACTGAAAATCAATGCATCAATTCTACCATAAATTGTTTTATAAATAATACAAAAACATTCATCACAAGGCTAATAGAACTAACAACTATATCAATGACAAATATGGTATTTTTGCAGTTGCTGTGTGAAATCAGCGGCCTTTTGAATAGAAGAAAATTGGAACCATACCCAATGGTAAACAGAAGTATAATGGATCAAGAGTACAGAAACATTGAGAGTGAGATGCACAGATATGTACGTGACTGGATCGTATTCAGGGCTTACATGAATGTTGTAGAATACATTCTAGATGTGTCGAGTCATTTCTATGACATCACTGGTGCAGAGCTGCGCAAATAAAGAAATCAGCAATCAATAATCACAAGCTGGCCAAAGAAAAAAATGAAAAAAATTTCCCTCAAACGTTATACTCAAATAAAAATTATTCAAATGAAAATGGTTTAAACACGACCGGTATGGTGGCGTCGTCCTATAATCCTGCTACTAGGAGGTCACGAATTGTGGATATTTAATAGTCAATGTTTATAGTCATGCACTGTGGATGCGATGCTCCCTGGTGATGATTAACGTCCGCACTAGTGAGTACGACTATCCGCAGAGCTACCCTGATAATTAGACCAATTCGTTAATTACAAGTAAATTTGGTTCGGAGTCCACCATAAACTGTAGGTCCCTTAGTTGCCATTGGCTGTAAGGGCTATTAACAGCTGTTTCTAAGGAATATGTCGGCCTTAGTCATTAACAAGACTACAAGATCGCGTCACTCATTCTACACTCATCCTTCACTCATATTTTGGTTAAAAAACGCACATAGTGGCGTCCCCATCTTAAATAATTGATTTAATTGATTTAACTAATTTAATTGATTGATTGTAGTGCTTTAGTTTATATCTACAGGTTTATGGTTTACGGGTACAGTAATGTTTGGATAAAGAAATGTTTGGGAAAGTAAAGGAAATTCATTGGTTTCGTAATCACTCTGGGGTAATGCTAAATATTTCTGTATCGAATATAGATCTTGTATCTGGAATCAGGGAAGAACGCATCAAAACGTTATAAAAATAATAAACAATCCTAGCTGGGAAAATATTAAACTACTCATAGTACTCAAGTTGTTTCTCCAATGTTTGGAAATTATTTCTCCAGCTTTAGCTCGGTTTTTGTACTTTTCTAGAACTATTTTGGGAAATCTTTCTGAGCATAATTCTAGAGCCTTAAACGTTGTGAAAACTTCATTATTTGCGTTTCGAAATGAAAATGTTCACGGTTAGTAAATATCTCTCCATCACTAAAAATAAGTTGAAAGGTACAAATTTAATGGTAAAAGGGTAGCGTATTAGTAATTTACAGTAAATGTGTAGTAAACAGACTTTTACGGACAGATTAATAATGTAAAAACTAATCTGATGTACAAAAGAATTGTGTAGCTTCAACCCTTAATTTTTAGTTATGTAAGAAAGTAAATATTAAAATATAAAAAAAAACTAAGAAGTAATCAATGTAGTTTTAATCAGTGATGAAGTAACTGTAGTCGCAAATAAACCCTTTTCTGAAAATGAACAATTGTTCGGTTACCATAATAAATAACTAACAAAAGCCTTAAAACGTGCGAGCACATGTGCAGGCTTGTCTCAATAAACGTCAACATAAATCCTTAAAACCAACGCCACCTTATTGTATTAACGCCTTTATATTTTTCTCTTGTGAAGCCACTAAAACTTACTCATCCACTCTCAGTCCATCCAGTATAAGGAGTTTTCATTTACTTTTATTTCAACACATTGCTGGGAAGGTTTTTAGCGAATTTCCCTATAGGGAAGTAGCTATTACCGTAGGTGGCACAGTAAGACTTATATATATATACGTCCGTGAACGCGATAACTTGAGTAATTTTTGTCCGATTTTGATGAAATTTGGTTTAAAGGTGTAAAGCGGGATAAACTTGAATGAGTTCGCGAACCAGCACGATCGGACCATGAGAACGGGGCTTTACGGGGGGTTTTATGGGGTAAAAATTGGTTTTTCTCACTTTTGACCCTCAAAACACAAAATTTCCCGATTTCTCTTTAGACCTTTTTAAAGAGCTTAAAAAAACAAACAATTTAGTATATAAAAGTATTTTTGTTCGATCATTAGTAACGGAGAAAATAAAAAAATTGTAAATTTAAAATTCCCATGTTAATGTTTGCTTGTTTATGGATATATTTTGATCAAACTTGGCAAATTTATTTATTTTGTACTAAGCTATCAATATTTTACTCAAAAACACACTTTATTAGTTTCCTTGTAGCAGCAAACCTAGGTACTCGTTAAACCTAATGTTATTAAAATATATTTAACTGAAAATCAATTCAGACAAAAGGAAATTCGCTTAGTCGGCAGGTTTGCTGCGGCGGGGGTATTATTTATGTTTTTTTTTGTCTTGGGAGCTTTACAAAAGGGTAGTTCACACGGACTCAAAACCTGTGGCTTACTCAACGGCATAAGTAAAGGATAAATAAATATACCAATACATTTTAACGAGTAGGCCTATCTCAAGTCGAATGCAATTTTGGAAGCTCAAGTCAAAGTTATGAGGGAATACAGTATTACCTGTAGAACTGGATTACTTAAACACCTTTCAAGATTTATAAACACCAGTTGCTAAAAGATTTATGGTGATAAATTCAAAAAGAAAATTGATTAAAATACATTATACTGTATTTATATATTTTTTAAATTAACAAAACTAAAAATCTGATCTTATTAAGGGAAAAATTCAAATATGAATGACAATTTGTCTTAGGAAGACTGCAAGTTAATCAATCCATCAATTGAAATCTTGAGATAATTTAGGAGCTCCAAAAGTTCCTTATTGTCTTCATTTATCATATTTGTAGTAGAAGTCATTATAGTTTCATATATGAACAGTCATAATTATTAGTAACGGAAGAGTTATTATGTTTTGCGGGGTGGCTGCACTGTGCACTGGGCCCTGAAGTGGGATGATTCGTCACGGCTCGGTCTTCTATGTCCACCAACGAACGTAAGTGGTTCTCTTGCTGTTTTGTCCACTTTTCTAGCGTAACGTTAGGTTACGACATTTTGGCGCAGTCGGTAATAAACCTTTTTATCATAGTTAGGGTAGTACGCGATAACAGTTGTTGTTTTAGTGCGTATTATAGTTGAGATGATTAAAAATGGCGAGTATTAGTGTTGGCAGGATTTCTGAATTTAATCCAAGTGAGGAGGACATTGTGCCCTATTTGTTGCGCCTGAAACATTTTTTCAAAGCGAACAATGTTAAGAAGGAGAACGAGGTGTCGGTTTTAATTACAGTTATTGGTCCCAGGGTTTTATCGGTCCTATCCGATTTATTATCACCGGTAGAGGTAGATTCTAAGACCTATGATGAACTTGCAGCGTTGTTGAAATTACATTATGCGCCCAAGAAGTTGGTTGTGGCGGAGCGATATGTATTCTACTCTCGTGTGCAAAAGCCGGGCGAAAGCATAGCGGAGTTTGTGGTTTCAATAAAACATTTGGCTAGTTCGTGCAAATTTGGTACCTTTTTGAAAGACGCTTTGAGGGACAAAGTGATTTCCGGCATTTCTAATGAAACTGTCCGGCAGAAATTGTTGTCGGAGGAATTGGACTTTGACGAAGCTTATGCGTTAGCGCTCAGGCTGGAACAGGCCGAATCGCAGTCAAGCCTATTTGTGCAACCTCGTGGGGACATTGCGAAAATCAATGTGAAAAGTCAAAATAGGCCTAAAACTTTCATGCATAGGAGTAGTGAAAATCAAAATTCTAGAAACTCTTGCTGGAGGTGTGGTTCTGCGGGTCATTGGCCTAGTGCGTGTGCGTTCGCCAGTTACAAGTGTCACGGTTGTCAGAGAGTAGGTCATCTCAAGAAAGTGTGTAAAGCCAAGAAATCTTCTAGTTTCCATGGTAAAAAGTCGACACCTAGGATGGGGGTCCATCAAGTGGAGGAAGAGGTTGGCCTAGGCCTAGAAGTTCCGATGGCTGAGATAGGTTTGTACAACCTTAAATCAGGATCAGAAAACGGCTATAAGGTAGGCCTAGTGGCTAATGATGTATATTTAGAAATTATTCTAGATACAGGCAGTGCCTTGACTATATGTCCTTCTGAAATATTTTATGAACAATTTTCTAACCTCAAACTTAGGCCAGCAAATGTGTTAGGTCAGTTGAGGTTAGATTGGCAAAACGTGTTTTCATGTAAAGCCACTGTGGATCATAGTTATGATGTGGATATTGCTAAGTTGAAGAGTAAATTTAGGTCAGTTTTTCAGCCTGGAACGGGCGAAATTAAGGGTGTTAAGGCTCATATTGTCTTAAAGGAGGGGACAGTCCCTAAGTTTTGTAAGGCGAGACCAGTGCCTTTTGCGTTAAGGGAGAAAGTTGAGAGTGAGTTGGACCGCATGGTTCAAGAGGATGTTGCGTACAGAGTTACTAATTCACAGTGGAGCACTCCACTTGTGGTTGTCCCTAAGCCTAATGGTGTTAGGCTTTGTGCCGATTATAAGATTACTCTTAATCAGTGTATTGAAATGGAACATTATCCGCTTCCTCAGGCTCAAGATATTTTTGCAACTCTAGGCGGTTGCTCAGTTTTTAGCTGCCTTGATCTTTCAAATGCGTATCAGCAATTGGCGGTAGCGGATGAATCGCAACATTTGTTGACCCTAGCTACCCATAAGGGTCTGTATCGTTTAAAAAGGCTACCATATGGTTTGTCTTCAGCTCCTGCAATTTTTCAGTCAGCCATCGACCAAATTTTAACAGGTCTTCCAGGAACGGTGGCGTACTTAGATGACGTCTTAGTGGCGGCTCGCTCTAAGGAAGAGGGGCTCGCCCGTCTGGCGCAAGTGCTGCAACGCCTTGATGAGTTTGGTGTTCGAGTAAACCAACAAAAGTGTAAGTTTTTGCAATCTTCAATAGAGTATTTAGGACATGTGATTACTCGAGATGGTCTCCGTCCACAAGAAAGTTTGTTAACTGCGCTGCGTAAAGCGCCTGAGCCTAGTACTAAGGAAGAGTTACGAGCCTATATTGGTCTAATAAATTATTATCATGCATTTATACCTAACCTGTCTGCTAGAATAAGCTGTTTTTATGACTTATTACATAAGGATCATCCATGGGTGTGGTCGGAGGTGTGTTCTAACACTTTTCAGGAGAGTAAATCATGGGTGTTGGACTCAAGTTTGTTAGTTCACTATGATGTGAAAAAGCCCATAGTTCTGACGTGTGATGCGAGTCCCAGAGGGGTGGCTGCTGTTCTATCTCATCTTATCGATGGGCAGGAAAGGCCAATTGCCTTCGCATCGAAAACGCTAAGTTCCAGTGAACGGCATTATTCCCAGTTACATCGGGAGGCTCTGGCTTTGATCTTTGGAGTCAAAAAGTTTCATAAGTATATATATGGACGACACTGTATTCTACAGACTGATCATCAGCCGTTGACGGCTATTTTTGGCTCTAAAAAGGGCGTTCCTAGTATGGCGGCAGCTAGGCTGCAGAGATGGGCCTTGATTCTATCAGCATATGATTTGGAGGTTAGGTACCGGAAGGGGGTGGATGTCCCTCACGCTGATGCGTTGTCTAGGTTACCCTTAGCAGAAGCGGAACCTATAGAGCTGGATGCTAATTTTGTTTCACATGTAGATGTGTGTACAGAAGTGATGAACAATTTCTGTGTTGTCAAGGACATTGCACCTATTACTGCCTTGCATATAGGTAAAATGACGGATAAGGATCCGATTCTTTCGAAGGTCCGAGATTTTGTGATGTACGGCTGGACGAGCTTGGTTGAGCCGGAACTAGCTATTTTTCTAAGGAAGAAGGACGAGTTGTCCGTGGAACAAGGTTGTTTGCTGTGGGGTTCTCGTGTAGTGATTCCAAAGAAACTGTATTCATCTGTGCTTCAAATGTTGCATGATCAACACCCGGGAGTTACACGCATGAAGATGCTGGCGAGAAGTTATGTCTGGTGGCCAGGCATGGAGAAGTCGATTGAAGACGTGGTGGCCTCTTGTTCTGCGTGTCAGTTAACTAGGAATTCGGTACCTAAAGTACCGTTGCAGCAATGGCCTACAACATCAACTCGATGGCAGAGGATACACATTGATTTTGCGGAGGATCCGGAGTCGAGACAGCAACTTTTGGTTCTGATTGACACATACTCTAAATGGTTAGAGGTATTTATCATGAGTTCCATGAATTCTTCCAAGGTTATCGAGAAACTCCGTACCTTGTTTTCATCGTATGGATTGCATGTCGAACTGGTGTCGGACAACGGAAGATCTTTTACTAGTCAAGAGTTCAAAACCATTTTGCATAACAACAATGTGAAGTTCACATTAACTCCCCCGTATCATGCGGCTTCAAATGGATCTGCAGAGAGAAGTGTTCAGGAGGTCAAGAAAAACCTTTTGCGTCAAGTGATTGAGGAACATCAGCGTTCTCAGCGTACCACTCTTCAAATGAAATTAGATAATTTCTTGTTTGCGTACCGCAACACTCCAAATACAGTTACTGGCTTAACACCTGCAGAAATGTTCCTGTCTTGGAAGCCTCGTACACAGTTGGTTATGTTAAAACCCAATCTCCAGTCATCCATTGATCAAAAACACAGGGAACAAAAAGATGCAGCTGATAGGCTTAGGGGAAGAAGTAGATTTTTCTCAGAAGGTCAGGCAGTCTATGTCAAAACTGTCCGAAATGAAAAGATTTCTTGGGTTCCTGGCAAAATAATTATACAGAGAAGTCCGGTCACCTATCTTGTGAGTGTCATTGGTGGAAAACCCCGATTTTGTCATGCAGACCACTTGAGAGCTAGGTATGCAGAAGAGGAGGAGATTTTTGTATCACCCAAGGATCCCGTTGTATCACCCCAAGTACCCAAGAATTCGCCCCCGCCGGAGGATCGACCAACTAGTCCCCTGATGATGTCACCTGTACCTAGGCCTACTACCAGTCCCAGGGAGAGCCTAGGGCAAGCCCAGCCTCAGCCAACTCCTGCGTCGCCGCTAGCACAGTGCAGCCCACCACCCTCGCTGAGGAAGTCTGGACGGACTGTGCGAAAGCCTCACAGGCTGGACTTGTAAAATAATTAATGAATAATGGGAAGAAGAAATTTTTGTTGCATTATATTGAAAGTAAATTTATTTTATTTTGAGTTAATTTTGAATTTATGGTATTGACTTTTTTATGGGGAAGACGAGTGTAGTAGAAGTCATTATAGTTTCATATATGAACAGTCATAATTATTAGTAACGGAAGAGTTATTATGTTTTGCGGGGTGGCTGCACTGTGCACTGGGCCCTGAAGTGGGATGATTCGTCACGGCTCGGTCTTCTATGTCCACCAACGAACGTAAGTGGTTCTCTTGCTGTTTTGTCCACTTTTCTAGCGTAACGTTAGGTTACGACAATATTATAACATGATTTAGGGGTTTCTACCGATAACTAACATCAACAATTCATATTTGTTTAAAAAAAAATTCTTTTTGAAATTGATACGTTCATGTGAACTCTTATCATCTTGAAAAATTGATCATTTTATTTGTAACTAATTTATCCATGGTTCGAAACAAATATTCCGTTTTAAAAAAAGTTTCAAAAATCACGTTGGAGTTTTTAGCTAGGACAAAGTGGAGATGGATTTTTCAAAATGTTTGTACCTCTTAATACTTTTTCAGAATTTATCTCTACTCTTTTTGATTATCAATACAAATTCTATTTTTTCATAATGTTTAATAAATTAAGGGAAAAGTTAGAAGGTATTTAATATGTATTCATCATTCTTTAATAACTTTTTGTTCAGGTAGTATAACCTTAGAAGAATGGTATATTTAGACTACATAAAGTGGACTAAATCAATGTGGTAATGAATGCATAATTCTCCCTATATAAAAAATAACACTATTTTCCTAATCCTGTAGTACTACACAATTGTCTATTTATTTGCTCACTGTCTGAATGTAGACAAACCATTAATTTGAACTTCTGACAAAAGGTATTTTTGGTCAAATGACTTCTTGAAAGTATCTGACTTCATCAAAGTTCAAAACTTTGGAGAGAAGAGGGGACAACTCCAATACCTGTCGTTAAGTACGAGTGTTTTAAACTGTTTGACATTTAATCGGTTTATTAGATTGAAAACTAAACTCTTTAATTATTTTGATTACTACTAATAATCATATATGTTGAACATGGATCAAATTATGTTCTAAAAGATGATTAACAATATGTAAATACATTATTTGAAAGTATTAAAAGATACATATTGGAATAGATTTTTACAAATATTGGGCATCATTTTACAAGTATACTCGGGACCATAAAATCACCATATATCCAGTATTGGTAATTTTAAGAAAACTACTACTGTCCTTAAGAAATGCACAGAAATAGTATTACAATTAGATATTTTTAAATTGGTGTCGAAGTTGTTCACGTCATTTTGGTATTAATTGTGTAACTGGAATTCGTTCAAAAATAATTGAAATGGTAATAATTCAAATTAGAATTGCAATGTGGAAAGCGAGTTGGTCTATTGGTAGAGCGCGGACCTTAGGTCCCTGAAGTCTCGAGTTTAAATCCAGCCAAATGATCAATGGATTTTATCTAAGCGATAATGCCGCAATCCCTAGTTCTTGGCTAAAGTATTTTGAAAAACAATCCTGGGCTCCATAGGACATAAACAATTTTAAATTGAAATTGCAAAGTAGTCGGTTGGCTACAAATAAGAAACAAAGTAAAAACTGTTCATTATTATTCACCTAGCAAATTGCATACAAAGTAAGTCATGTTTTGGTTTAAGACCAAATTTATGCTTATGCTCAACAGATGTGTATCATGCCTCACCTCAGAGTCGCATACAAAACATCCGATAACATGGATGAAGTCAACTGGAGCGTCTAACATAGCAACAGGACTGAATGCATATTGTGACCGTTGTACAATAGACAAGGTTTATTTAAAATCAGTGACGGGCGAAATATCTAAATCCGATATTCCTAGAATAATTTATAACATTTTGTATACGACGGACGAAAGAATTTTCCCCGTGTTTAAGAAGATAATATTTTAGCACGTTTGTTTTAAAACTTTAACAGTTGTATGTCAATCTCACAAATTCAAATGAATTCCATACCTTGTTTCGGATTTTAGTTAAATGCTAATACTTCGTCCTCGTTAAAAACATTTTATTATTATCTGCTAAATGTTCTATAAACTGTCTGTGTTCGTGGTCAATTTTTGTTACTGTAGTCATGTTTAAAAAGTTATTGTATGCAGATTAAAATGTCTGAAAAATGATTGTGAAAATATAATCATAATGGTGATAACTTATATTAGAGATATTGACAATGCATAACGAAATGTATAACTAATTTAAAAGTCAAAAAGGCCAATATATAATACATTGTTTTAATCTCATGCGCTTACTATATTTCCACCGTCAGGCTGTGTTTAAACTGTTACAAAAAGTAAATATACAATAGTTATATATACAATAATTATAATATACAATGATAATAACAATAATTAATTAAACTAGTGTACCTGTTGCTCGAATTCGAGCAATTGCGAAGCATTACATGCGTTATTTTAAAACGAATAACGGTCATAATTTCCGATGATTTTATAAAAGTCGACTCAAAGATTATGGAAATACTCACAATGTACATAACAGTTAGATATAATCAAAATTGTTTGTAATAAATATCTTATGTTTTTTCAAAAGCTGATCTTGTTTTTTTAGAGTTTTCTACAAATGTTTCTCACTCATAGCTGCATTAGGTTCTCTATAATAACGATTATAAATTAAGAAAAAATCATTATTTCTATTTCTTCTACTTAGTTGTGTTCTATGAATTTCTTATGTTTCCATTATTTGCAAATCGGCTCTTTCAATGATTGCTTAAGAAATGTAGCACAGTGTTAATTCAGTTTTATTTTTAGTAGGTTATCAAATTGTCCAGGATTTCTCGCGATTTTCCATTGTAATAATTATACCAACCCAAGTATCGTCTACAGATGCAATACGCCAAAGAATGTAATCGCACAATCTCCAAGAAGTGAAAAAAGGCAGAAACCAACCCATACAATAGACATAAGACATAAGTTAACTCCATAAGAAATAATTTTAAGAGTTACTGTGATATTAGGATTTTCCACTGATTTGGTAATAGAACATTATATAGCAAAACATGACACGATGCAGAAAAAAATCTATTTTAAAATCAGAAAAAACAATTTCAAATCCTTCATTTTGACAAATACAGTAAATCACAATTTATATATTAGCAGCTGTTTCATTAAAAAGTAGTGTAAAATTATACATATGGTCATAGTGTAGACAAACCTTATGAGAGGACTTTAAAGGCCTCTAGGGCAGAGCCCCAAGGGAATTTACCTCGTTTCTCTTTTGATGGCTCATCTACAGACCAAGGCCTTTCCTTAGAGACCCCTACCAAGTTTCTACGCCCAGCCGTTCTATGAAGTTAGCTGTGACAAAAACCCGTTTTCCCCCCATAAGAATAACATGGGATAGGAATTTAAAGGCCACTGGGGCAGAGGCCCAAGGGAATTTACCACATTTCTCTTTTTATGGCTCATCTACAGACCAAGCCCTTTCTTTAGACACCTCTACCGAGTTTCTACGCCCAGCCGTTCTCTCAAATTAGCTGTCACAAAGAAAAACAGTTTCAAATTAATATATAGATTTAAGGTAAAGTTAAAATAGATGATGAAAAGGATAATGGAAAAATATACGAACAAAATTGAATTTTAAAATTTGGATATATTACAGTGTTTTTCGTAAGTGTTGTAAAATAATGGAATTATTTTAGGTAATATCGAGTTAGTAATTGGGCCGTTTTAGTTATTTAACAAATAATTTTGGTCTGTTTTTTTTATTCCCATGCTGTAATATATTCAAATTTCAAAATATTTTTTTTTTAATGTTTTTCCAATATCCTTTTCATCATATGTTTTAATTTTACTTTAAATTTATTAATTATTTTAAATATTTACTTTTTGTACCAGTTTAATCACAGCCTGATGAAGGAAACATAGTTTCCGAAAGCGCTTGTGATTAAAAACAATTTATCATATGTTGGCCTTTTTGAAATTTTAGTTATTTATACATTTCATTATGTTGACGATAACTGGAAAAAACCTGTTTTGTAAATAATACATTTTTATTAGAATCTTAACTGTTTGAATGCACTTACTTTTCTAAGACAAATATTTTTATCCAAAGATGCTATAACTTATCTTTTTCTATTGGTACTGTAGCCCCAATACATGCGTAATTAAGTAGTATAAATTTAATCCCTATCAAGAAGAATTTTATACAAACATAACATCAATACAGTTTCATACCACAATGAATATCTAGTCTTACACTTAGTATTCAGTGTTGAAAATTCTGCTCGGTTTAGTATGATAATTGGCTGAATATATGGAAGAAAACTACACGGGTGGTTGAACAATAAGTTATACGAACTTGACACATATAGCCTAGTCAAACTAAATTTTCTTAGACAATATATCATCATCTAAAGTGGCATAACAATGACAGTCAAGAATAATATTAATAGACAAATATTATTTGTAAAAACCAAAACATTTTCTTATTTATTAGCATGCTATAAAGTTAAGTATGTCAACATTGGTCATTTATGACAACCTGATTATTTTATAATTTTATCATTTATTAAGAGTACCTATCAAGATGCAAGTCATTTTAATGTATTCACTGAATTGGCGAGAGTGTCTTTAGCAATTAAAGTTTGGCCTAAATACTTTGTAAATAAAATTACGGACGTTCAAAAATGCAGTTTCGTGCGATTTTTGTCAAATTTTCGTACAATTTTTTATCACATAATCATCTATGAAATAACGAACAGCTGTTCGGATCAAGATTATTTTATCTAGCTGTCACTGATATGTTTACGAATGCTGTTTACAAATACCGGAACCATTTCCGATTACGTTTTGAAAGCAAATCCCAACCAAGTGAGATTAAAAACGTTTTTCTTACAAAACGGATTTAATTAATCACAAGTGCAATATTATAGTGTTACCGTAAATGAAAT